ATTCACCCGTTCCCCCTTTTCTCTTTTTACTTTTTCTGTGTTTAAATCATTATATATTTAATAACATGCAAATTTGCAGATAACCAAAAAGTACAGGATCCAAATGCATTTATGTGAAATAATAATCTCTCTACACTTCTGCTGATATCAGCCTAATTTATTTTCCCCTTCTTTCTACAAAATGCTTTTCGTTTGCAAAAGTTAAATTTCCAATGATCTGGATTTGCTTCTGCTAGAATGTAATGCAATTATGGTGTTACGCACCAGTCATCAGAAGTTAACAAAAAGAATGATCAACTCTTTCACACACACAACACCCTAGACATTTGTCTTCTCCTATTGATCAATAACTTTGTGTCATTAGAAAAGCCTAATAGCTGAGATCCCCGAGGCGTTCAAGTGAGTTGATACTTAATGACAACGTCTCAAGGTGTAATAGAGTCTAGGCATTCTCATATCATTATATTATAAAGTTTTAAAGAGTTAGTGCTTGATGCTATTTATCTAACACTGAGCAGGGGAAGAAAGGGAAAACTGTCAGAAAATCAAATTTGAAAATATCCATGGTATTCAGTCCCAGCACCATTTCGAGGAACTCAGGAAAACTTACAACTTCAAAGTAAACATTCCAAACCAGAATTTACCAACCCATAAGACAATAAGCATGACTCACGTCCCATAAATAACGTTTCAAACAGGAGCAGTCCATGACCGAATTAGATTTTATAGATATAACACCGTGAGATCAAAGTTCAATAAGTTGTTTCGCAGAATATATAGATGGAGGCCAAGGGCAAAAAATTACTCAGTAGAATCGACCCCCCCTCCCCACACCGGGGGGAGGGGAACCAAACAGATATATTATCACAGCCTCATAGACTAGATCCTACTGCTTTTTTTTTTGGGGGGTGGGGTGTTTCTAAACATTCAAAGAACAAACAAGTCATCCAAAAGAGAAAGGTAATCATGTGTCCTAACCACGTGAAGTGTTGGAATTCTTAGAGATGGAGGCAGCGCGAGAGTCCCTGGGATCGGAGGGCGGCTTAGGGGGAAAAAGCGATTGCGCCGACAACCTATCCTTGGCCTTGAGAGCCCTAGAAGTGGACGGGGAGGATCGCTCGAGCTGCTTGTCGAGGACGTCGTTGATTCGCTTCCGATCGACAGGACCTACCTCGGACTTGGACCCAACAACACCTCCTTGCACTCTGTACATGCCTCCTTCCACCTTCTCCCTCCTCACCCTAGCTCGGTTTCAACAAAATGTTACTCAATCATCATAGTTTAGGGTTTGCAATTGACACACCCGTCAGATTCAAACACACCCAGAAACCTCACAATCTGTAATTTGGGTGGGGAAATTGGGGATATCGGCTTATGGGGAAAAAAAGATAACAGTGGAGAGAGAAAACATTAGGATAGAGACACAGGAAGAGGGGCGATAACAAATATGAATAAGTAGCAATACTTTAGAAATATAACAACTCATAGATTTGTGAAAAACCTTGGAATTTCAGAATATTTGTTGCCCATAAACCAGCGGGACAGCACTGTCCCTCTATCCTTCCCCGTACTCGTCTCGTATATGCACCAACACCACCATGGCTTTTGATAGTGTGATTGCGACTGCGATCCCTGATACCAGTTTTCTGCATACGTGTCAATACTCTGCTTCATCACCATGGTCCCATTATCATGTTCCCAAGAGATATTTTTGTTTAGGATATGTTTTATTTACAAACCAGTTGCATGACGCTATAATTCTGTAATTTTATTGCCAATTGAATTTATTTTCTTGATGAGATGTATTAAATTTCAAAATCATTTTAGTTTAAGATAATCATCAATATAATATAATAAATTACTATTCATAATTACTAGTCCCTCATGTTCCTATTACAGAGCACTTCTTAAAAGTATTTTTTATCTTTAATATAAAGCATATTAAGAGACATTAATTTCATTAATTATGTTCAATATTACCTTTATTTAAATTTATTAATTACAAAATAAAATATAATACAAATTTAAACATTTTTATTTAAATAGAAGTGAAATTAAAAATTTATTATATTTTTAAATAAAATTAATTATTTATCCATCTCTATCTAAGTTTGATGAGATAGTTGGCCATGTTCTATGATAAAGATTGAGGGAATAACTTATTATCCATGTCCTTTGCTCCCTCCCTTTTTTATATCTTTAATCACTCTTTTTTAATATAAGATCAATTTAATAAACTTTGCACATATTGAAAAATGGTTGTTATTATACCAAAAAAATGATAATTACATTTTTAAAATTTTTATAATGATGTGTAACTTTTCAATCTCATCCTTAATTATCATTAATATCCACAATAAATTATTATCTATGAATTCAAATGATAATAAATAAATAAATAAAAGGTTTAGTTAAAAAAGTTACTCTAACTTTATTTTAAATTAAGAAAAACTTTTAAATTTTACCTTATATTGAGAATGAGAAGAGTATAAGATAAGCGATAACTTTCCTTTAATTTAATTGCTTACATTTACTCTCATTATTGAAAATATTTTTATTTAGGACATGGTCAAGTGTTGAATATAAATATTTTTTTTAGTAAAAATTCAAACATATTTATCATTTTGAGAGATTAACTATTCTTCTATATAATGATAACTTTTTTATATTATAGGTCTTTTGTCCACCTTTAAAATTTAAAATATTTTAATGAGTTACATTTATTTTTCTCAAATAGGACATTTTTATTCTCATTCGTATTAAGCTACATGGAAAGTCATATAAATTCAAAAAATAAATAATATGGTTGATCTTTACCTTGGTATAAAACAAAAAAAAATGTATTTCTCATATCTTTTCTTTTTTATATGATAATTTTTCCCCATTATCAACAGTTTATCAAACTGATTATAGTTATACAATTCATTCCCCATGCAATTCTTTCAACCATGGGAAGTTATAACTCTTTGACAGAAGAATATTTATCAGCAAAAGATTGATTTAATGACAATTAGATTTTTAATAGTTTTTTTTTAAAAAATAAATTGCATAAAATGGTCTCACAGTGCAAATTTGGGTTAGTTTAAGTAGGTACCGAGTGGTAGAATAAAAAAACTTAAAAAAGAATCTATTTGTTATTAAATATTGTTTGAGACTTAATCATTATTATCTGGATCTCTAAAAAATCCTATGAATAGAATCCTATCCCTCCACTTTGTTTTCTCACTTTTCTCCTCTTTAACAAATTCTCATAATTTAAAAAATGAAAAGCATGTCAAAGTTCATAATTCAAGCAAAGCCTCACAAGTCAACTGAAGAAGTTTGAAAAAAATTTAAAAGCAAATTTAGTAAAATAATGGATTTTCAAGGTTTAAATAGGCCTAAAAAAATTATGACGAAGCTCAATCGAATTTGGGCTTAATTTAAACACCTAAATAAAAAATTATATTTTAAAAAAATATACTCCCTTCATTTAAAAGTATATGACATTTTTAACTGAATCTCACCTCTCAATAAAATAGTCACTTACTTTTAAATTAATTCTATCTTTCTATATTTACTCCTATTAAACATCTTACAATAAATATAAAGTCACTTATCAATAGGGAAACTTAAAAAAAATAATGATTACACCTCAAAAGATTAAAAATATCTTATATTTTTTAACATCCAATTTTTCAAAAAATATCTTATATTTCTTTTTTACGGAGGGAGTATAAAGTATGATAAATATTAATCAATTCTTTAAGTTCTACATTATTTTATAATAAACTACCATATACTTGAGTGCATGACTATATATATTTTAAAAAAATTAAAAATATTTATATTTTCATGTTTTTATTATTTTTAATCTATAAAACATCTTAAAATAATATTTAAATTGTATTTTAATATTTATTTTTATATTTTAAGACTCACATATTTTTTTAAAAAAATTGAATCATATACATCATTTAAGTGTTAAAAAAATATATTTTATATTTTTAAAAATAAAAATAAATAATTTTAAAGAAAAAATTTACATTAAAATTAATTTTAAAAGTAAAAATGCAGGTATTTGAGCCACTCCAAGCCCAAATAAATTTAGGCCAACCTTAGATATTCAGTTTTTTAAGAAGTTCAGGCTTGTTTAGGTCATACTTGTCGTATTAACATGAGTCCGAATAAGCTCGACTCGCTTAAATTACTAGCCCTATACATAAGATATTGGAACTCGTTATAGTAACAGAAATGACAACAGAAAGCATTGAGAAAGAAGCATTACCGACGTTGAATGAAACTTCATTTCTCACTATGTCTGGTGAACTTCTTTTCTTTTTGTTATAAACCAAATTCACTAAGACAGCACATTGACCTGAGATGGAAATCCAAGAGATAAACCCACTAAATGATTCAAACATAACCGATGATTGAGATCATTACGATGTTAATGATACACTATAGATTATCATTATTATTATACCATTTAAGGAGTGGGGAATGAAACTGTTACTTACATTCCTGAAAGGCAATATTTGTAACTAGAACTGTTAAGTTTCACTAAAACTATGATCTATCTTAAATAAATATAGATAATTCACTCGTAATATTTAAAAAAGAAGTGATGTTTAACCAAAATGATTTAAATATGGGGTATTAAAAAATGAATAAATAGGTCAATTTAACTAAAATGATCCTCTCAATAGTTTACAGTTTTCCTCTCTACAAAATTTTTTACAGTATGATAATTCGTCTACATTATTTGACACGATGGGTTATGTTGGTTGAGGCGAACGAATAGGCGGGGGGTTTTATGACCATGCAATATATATATATATATATATATATTACAATATTTTCTGTTGATGTATTAATATGGATTAAATACAACTAAACAATTTTTTTGGGTGAACAAAATCGTCACTACAACTGGAACCAGTCTTCAATGGCTCTTGAGGACAGCCATGGAGGCAACGTTGAAGCACCTAACTGGAAGACGGCGAAGGTTTGTCAAAGAATTCGAGCACCAATAAAAATACTGACTGGAAATTTCAATAAGAATGTGATTTACAGATTGCTGAGAAAAGCTAATTACAGTAACCATATATTACTCTTGCAAACTCTACCATTCAAAAACATAAGAAAAGCACTCAATTTGATTGCTAATTGCATAAACTAAACCCGTATGCTCTCAAATCTTAAATCTCAAGTAGCAATTTCATCAACCTCGGAATTAAATACAAAGCTTGGGAAAGTCGTCGTTATGTCCCTGCATTCATTTCACAATTGATGTGTTTAGAGGCTTTGAATGAAAGCAGTTCAAGATATATTAAACATAAGAGAAGCACAGTACATACCTCAGGTAGGGTAGGGTCATGATTTTTAGTAGTGATGGATTCTTTGAAACGAAGTCTTGCCATTCTGCCTTGTCTATCTTCCCATCTTTGTTCAGATCAGCGTCCAAAAATGTCTGACCACAACAAATATATAATGACTTGGTTAGGTTCAAGTCATTCACTAAAAGACAATTGTTCATGAGACCATAAACAGGTTATAGTACAGCTTAAATAAACTTAATACTTCCCAGAATGTTGATCCGCTTCCTAACTTAAGTCAGCTCGTAACATTATAGTTTGCATGATATGTGATTTTTTTACAAACTCACCTTATCAAGAATTGCTTCTATGGTCTCATCCGCCAGCTTCATTTCAGACTCACAAAGAAGGGCAATTAACATTTGCTTGACCTGATGAAAATCAACCAATAAATAAAAAAAATAGATGGGTGTACACCTGGTCTTGCCCGATCAATTCAGGTCAGGTCAAGTTAGCTTTAAAAAGGAATCAGGCTTGCATGCCATACCAGGCTGGACACAAGGCAAGGCACCTGTCCAGCCAGGGACGAACTTAACATGCACATAAAGAGGTAAAGTATTCATAAGCAGTGGCAAATGTGGGTTGAGGTGAGGCAACAACCATTGGTTGACCAAGACTTAGAAGAATACAAAATAAGATCTATCCATAAAGTGTGTCACCTTTAGATTTTATTTAAACTGAATCAAATATGAGTACATACATGGATAATAAAATCCACTGTTTTACTAAATTCGCTTCTAAATTTTTTCAAGCTTGTTCAGCTAGCTTGTTAGACTTTGCCTGAATTATGAACTCTACATGGACATGCTTTTTATTTTTTAAACTATGAGAATTTGTTTAAGAGGAGAAAAGTGAGAAAATAAAGTGGATCGATAGGCAAGCTGAAATTCATGAAGTATTGCAAAGTTTCTTGATTAGAGTAGGCAAGCTGAAATTCACATACTTTCTTTTAAGAGAAGAACCCACAAGACAATCATTAGGTGCTTGAATCATCTTTCAGATTTTCTTAGCTAAAGTACTTAGATTGATCATATGAATACCTCCCAAGTGTTTGGATAAGAAGAGGAAATCTTTGTTTACTAGATGCATCATTTTCTTTCCATCTTGAATTCCAAAAAAAAAAAAAAATCTGAAAGTAAAAATGCAGGTATTTAAACTGAATCAAATATGAGTACTTTGGTTGGCATATACATGGGTAATAACCAGGCTACGTACCTCTTGCCGCTCTATGAAGCCTGTGCTGTCCAAATCGTAAAGCCTAAATGAAACTGAAAGGAAGTCCCAAACATAATCCATTAGTACAGCTAGATCACATAAGGGTAGCAAGGATAGGCTATCATCTAGATTTGAGAATTCAATCTTCAACTTACAATCTATCTTGTCTTCTTGTGGTGCATTTGGATGGAACACATTGAGTGATCTAACAAAATCACCGAAATCAATGACTCCCTTCTTTTTAACATCAAACAGATCAAAGATCTGCAAGCAGAAAGAATCTAATATTAATACAAATCCAGTTCACAGAAGAGTCCGCTAGATGCATATATTGCAAGCAGTAGAGCATAAAATGCCAATGATTTGCAAACTTTCAAAGCAAACGGGCAGCAATTTGAGTCTGAAAAAGTTATCCTCCTCTTTCAAACAGTTACTAAAGTTATCTTGGATATCTGAAATTAACTAATAATAGGAGCCAACCAAATGCCAGCTACTTAACAAAAATTAGATGGAGGCTTGCACAGAAGAATTAATATATTGAGAGTTTCTTCCAGAAGCACATAGTACAATGGCAAATTTCTTGATATTGTGAATTACTGATGCAAAGAAGCATTTGTTTGCATCTGTAGGAGCTCACAGTCACATATGGTGGCATTTTTTAAGAAAGCAAAAAGATGCTTTCTGTACCCGATTTGCAAAGAGATTCTCCCTCTTCCTATTTTTGAAAATTGCCAGCTGAAATTCTTCCTGCAAAGAAGGATACACTAATGATCACAATATGAAGAAAGAATCCAATGCATACACATATTATTACAAAATATATACTGCAACTGGATAAGCAATGATTCCTAACAAAGTCTATACAATGCCGAAGCAAAATATAAGTTAAAAGAACTAGCAAAGCAATGACTAATTGTAAGTGGGGTGAAAGAATTTTCCATATTGCACCTTGCTTATTAGTCCATCGTCAACAACAGAACCACTTATGCTCTTAAATAGCTCAAACAGTGCTTCAACCTCGCTAACAGTGACTGGCAAAACCAAAAGATGAACACAACTTTAACTACAAAATTAACGTGGGTGCCTGAAAATAGAAAAGAGATAGAGGAATTGCATGACAAAAGCATCAAATAAATTATGATAAAGCCATGATGGACAGTTGTTTTTCTGTGTCTATAAATATTAACAGGCAGTATAACTGAAATGCAGTAACAACATCCAGTCCCAAATTGATACGCTGACCAGCAAATTACATCCAATTATTTTTCTACATTTTTATGCTTCAGCCTACACCTTAGAATCAAGATGAATTACAATATTACCTTGTAAATATATACACACAAATAAAACTATGACAATACTGATGAAGCACAGGCAACTACTACCCATGAAGCAGCTCGCATTAGGATGATCAAGAATTGAAGGGCCAAAGGAGACTTGCTTCTTTCTGATATAAGCAGAACCACAAGTTGTTTGTCAAATGGAATCCAAACATAGCATACAAAGCTACAGGCCCATACATAATATCCCCTTTCTCAGTTTCATTTTCTTTTTCTTACTTAAATTTAATCAAAGATTGAGCTCACTTGATAGAGTCTATGCACTTTAGACAACCTCCCTTAATGGGATAAGATTTTGTTGATGATGAATCATCGATAATCATTGAGTGTCTAAGATTCATTTGGCAGGGGGAAATGTGAATTGACAAAAAACCAGTAGGGAAGCATGTGCAGTTAAGCAATTACAACTCAACAGCGAAGTTGCATAATATCAAGATTTTCTCATGGTGCAAGAATTTTAGTTTTGCATTGTCAAAAAACTGATAGCAAGAATTATAGTTCGCACAATATATATATATATATATACACATACATATATTATCTACTTACAAGCTGTCTGTGATGCGAGAGTCACAGGATCCTCATGCCCAGGAAATTGTCTTCTTACTTTAGAGCTGAAACAACCCATTTATCCTATGGACGGAGTGCAGGAAGCAAGGTACTAGACCAGCGCCCAGGCTTCACTACAATATATCATCAAAATCATCTTAACCTTGCAACTTCAAACCCAAATTCAAAAATCACGAAGTGAAATAATTAGTAAACAAATCAATCCCAAATGTTAACATAACCAAAATGACCTGAAATAAAACGGAAAAAATATACTCGGACAGCTCCACCAATGAATGACAGACAAACAGTTCAGAAAAGATAAGGTGACCACAAATAACCATTCATTAATTAGTGAGTTTAGAACAAGATGGGGCATGAAGACAGGGGGATTAGGAAATTAAAATCAATTTTGCACTAAACCGAACATTAAACTACGGAAAATATTTAAAAGAAAAAAGAAAGAAAGAGGAAGAGAAGAGAAGGAAAAACTTCAACATCGATACAAAAAGAAAACAAAGAAGTAATTAAAACAAAATATTCCTATAAAACAAAGAGCCAAACAGTTCCCTGGATCCTGCGAAAATAATCAGATACAAAAATTTAGTCATGTATATACCTAACTTCCAAAGGAAATCAAAGAAGCAATCATCGAGAAGATCCAGTAAGAATACAAGGTTTAACGATGAACAAAAGAGCATATAAATTTCCCGAAGGCGAGAATCAACACAATGTCTCAATCAAAGCGAACTCTACAAAAGTTGCAGGGGAAGAAATCACCATACAATTGGAAAGAGGGGAATTCTTAGGAAAGAGAAGCTGGTCTTCACCTGAAGAGAAGCGAATCCGATAAAAAGGCGCCGGCGGCCGGTGGACAGGCAGGAGAGAGAGAAAGGTAACGAACGCTAACTTCTTCGAAAGGAAGAAAGAATGGTCGAAGGAAGAAAGAAATGGCTGGCGAGGTGTGATGGAGGGTGAGGTAGGGATCGTGGGATTCCTGAGCGATTTACGCTCTCCTTGTCTAAAAGAGTCCAAAATCCAACTTGTAAATACCCGAACGCCTTGTTTGGGACGACGATCACTTTTGAGTTTTGTTTAACGTGCCAGCCTCCCACCCGTGACACGCACATACTTCCAGATCCATATTCATTCACACTTGTTGTCATATCAAATTTGTCATAAGAAAAATTCTTCATGATGTATAATTAAATCCTATGAAATTTATTCATAATAATTACACCCTCGCTTAAAAATATAATATCCTTTAACATATAATTGTTGTCTTTTTTTTAAAAAAAATAATCTATTAAATAAATTATTTTATATTTATTTTAAAATAAAATATTTTATTAAATATGAATAAATATAAAATATAAAATTAATTAAAAAATAAATAATTATTTTATTGAGGAGTGAGATTCAATTAAAAATGTCTTATATTTTTTAATGAAGGGAGTATTATAATTTTGCTCTATTTATAGGACAGATTTATTTTCTCACACACACATATATAAATATTATTCAATAGTTAAAATTAATATACTTAATATATAACAAAAAAATAATATTTTAGAAAGAAAAAGGATAACATATTTGGGTAGAGAATAGAATATATGCATTTTTCTTTACAAAAAACGTTAAAGAAGTTGGGTTTTAAGAACTTATCAGAATTAAAGTATATTTCTAGACTCAAGTAGTATTTGTAAAAATATTTTAAAGATTACTCACAAACAATATCATCATATCAACAATGAGATTTGAATTCAAAATTTGATGAGTTAGTGATCAAATTCTTATAAAATTGAACCGACATTTATTGATCGTACATTTTTTATTTTCTTTTTATAAAACACTTTTCTATGTATCAAACTTTGCATTTGTTTCCTACCAATCCTTTTAAATCTAGGTTAAGTTTTAAATAGGTTAATACATGAACCTTAAACCAAAAAAAAAAGATAAAGGAGCATTGTGCAGGCTTCATGCTTGGCTCAAGTCTTTGGCCAATCATGACTCATGCTTTTTTGGCTAGAGCCTAGTGTGGCGTGATGTATTTTCGCTCCTATTTGTTTAATTGTGTTGTAACGATTGGGTATAATTCTTTTGATCTGCAACGCCAAAATATATTTAATTATCGTATTATCTATAATTACATTAAAGGGATAATATATAGCATGGAAAAATGTATTATACATTCCGGTTCTAAATTGTAAAATTACTAAATAAATGTAGTGATTTTTTTTAAAACATTAGAGTTAGTTTGATTAGATAATGATATATTTGTTTTCAAAATTTATATATTTATTTTATTATTCAAATATTTAATCTATCATATTGTAATATATATATATATATATATATTTGTTATATATGAAAAGTTATATCTGAATTATTATCTTATGTCTCTGTTTTTTTTTTTTCGATGAATATTGTTGTCTCATATCTTAATGTAATCCTTTCCTCAACTCTTTTAAAGCTAAAGCCTTTCGGTTTGAAATCGGAATATTCTAATAAAAAAAATAGTTAAAATACTAATAGTGATGATGATGATGTTCCTAAAAAAGCCACAATGATATGCTAAAATTATGCCACTGATGGTAAACTAGTTTCTTTTCCTTTCTTTCAGACCTACATGGGCAGGGCTTTTCTCTGATTTGGACCCAACCTATCTTCAATTTGAGTTGATGAGGAAAAAAAAAGATACTGAATTTGGAATTGCTTGCTTAAGAATTATTTTCTTACAAAATATATTAATACATACATCTTTCTTTTTTGTCAACAGGATTAGAACGGGATCATGGGGAGCTGTGGATCCCAAATATATTTTGATACTACTAAAATTTAATATTATTAAATTTTAATAATTACTTATTCAAAAGTTAAGATATTCTAGTTGGGATAGAAGAACAGCAAGAGAAGGAAGAAGAATATGAGGAAGATGATGATGATGATGATGTTATGGTTGGGATGGTCTTCTAGAAAAATTGTTTCTTTTTGTAAAAGCAAAGCTAACCTGTTTGATTTTTATTCTCATTTTTTATTCTTAAAAGCTGTTTTATTTTACAGTTTTTAAAATTATTTTTAAAACAAAATAAAATAAAAATTTATTTGATTATGTCAATTCAAAAACAGTTTTGGAATTAAAAATTGGACTGGTAATGATAGTTATAAAGAGTTAATGGTGATAATTAATAATAAAAATTGGTTAAGACAACTGTAATTTTTAATAATCAAATATAGTGTATTTTAAAAATAAAAAGAATAAAATCAAAATAACTTAAAGTTGTTTCTATTTTTTTGTTTTTAAAACCAAAAAATGGAAATAATTTTGAAAATGACTAAAATAAAAATACTTTTCCAAACAAACTTTTAAATTTTCTGTTTTTAAAAACAAAAAATATTTTTTAAAAACAGAAAACAAACAAGCCCAAATTCTTGATATGGATTATTATTTTTTTATTTTGATATAATTTAATTTCATTGACATTAAGAGTATATGACAGTTGAGCATCATCGTGTTGATATATTTAATTTGTCATAGATTATTAATTAAAATAATTAAATAATAGATTAAGTGAGCAAACAAGAAAGTTTCTTAAATTGAGTACAACTTTAAATCTTATAAAAATGCATTTAAATCATTCAATACTATGAATACATAAAATCTTGTTGAGAAATTTTTCTCTTCAAAATTTTTTGATCAAGAAAATATTTTATTAGAGTATGAATTACATCATTATGAGCTTGTTATGCTCATAGATATTAATTTTCAGAATTTGATTACTATGGGCGAATTATGTCAAGTTTTTAGAGGTCATTAGAAAGTGTAATTGTTATCCTTTAATTGACAGATTAATAAGGTTTGTGCTAACTTTTTTGGTGTTAATGACAATCATTGAACAAGCTTCTTCAGCTATAAAAATTATTAAACAAGGCTTCGTGATTAAATAGAAGATAATTTTTTTACTAATTCAATGATAGTTTATATTAAAAAAAAATTATAAAAAAGTTTGCTATAGACATGATAATTGGTGATTTTCATGTTATGAATTGACGAATAGAACTAAAATAAAAATAAAAATACATGTCTCTTTTAGTTATATATTTATAAAATTAATTGTGAATGTCCTAAAATATTTATGTTATTGTATATATAACTTTTATTTCAGTTATTGTATATGATTTCTAATCAGAGTCCCCCTAAGTTAAAAATAATCCCTCTGCTCCTGAATAGGATTATTTCATATATCATGACTTTGATTGCATACATAAGCTCCCTCTACGCTTCTAGTCTCCATTAACAATTTTCATATCACGTAACAAGATGGTATCTGCGTTGACAAAACATATATTATTTGTATATTTATTTGTCTTAATTGTTATTTCTTTCTTTCTCTGATTTAACTTATTTTTAATTAATTTAGAAAATATTATATATTTTTTATCTATTAGTTATAAAACTTAAAGACCCTTTGATCTATATTTACATATACATCTCTATAAATATATTTATATGATCCCACTCCAGATGCTAGTGACTGTTAGAAATAGGCCCACAGCACTATGGTCGGCCAGTGACAAAGATGGTTGAATTATAATACTTCGTCCGTAATAAATTATAATATTTTAAAATAAAATATCACATATTAATAAATTTTATTAATATATTTAATAATTTTATTTTTTAAAATAAAACATAAAACTTTTAAACATATTTATAATTTAATATTATATTCGTTTCAAATTATATGATACATTTAAAGAAGTTTCTCCATTACAAAATATAAGACACTTTTGAGTAAATTAAGATTTCATTAAATGCGTCAATTTCAATATTACCCTTAATTTCTTTATAATTAATTTCCTTCTTTTCTCTTTTTAATATATTAAATTATGGATTTTTTTTAAAAGTTATCTTTTTATTTTGGAAAACATAAGGTTATTAAGTGTATTTAATGAGATTTATTAGATACGTATTTTACCTAAATGTCTTATAATTTGGGATAGAGGAAATATATTGAAAAGAGAAGGGATGAAAATTAATTATAAAAAGATAAAAGGTAATATTAAAATTGATGAATTTAATAAAATCTTAATCTATTCAAAATATTTTATATTTTAAGTTAAAAAAACTTTTTAAGGGAGTAGGTGGTTGAGTTAAATTGAACCCATTCAATGTACCATTAACTTTCTTTAAGAAACTTATATCTAATAATCACAAAGGAATCTGCGGTGAGGGTTCTACAATAGAGCATTGACACAAAAGAAATAATTCAACATCCACGTGCTTGTGTCTCCTGGGGACAAAGGAACAGACAACGTTATTGTTTATTATTGCTGAACTACCTACCAGAGTGATGTAAATATTGTTGCTATTCTCCGTATTATTGTATTGATTTTATGCATGTTTTTCCATTGAAGATAATTCAAGTACAATCAATTATGTTTTTTTCATTTTATCATTACAAAACAAGCCCACGAAAACGCTCTTGAGATAAATTATTTAGAGTCGAAAAAACATATCGAGACTTTCAAACCAGCCTGTCTAAACCCATTTAAATAGAAGATTAAGCTTGAGGTTTTGATGTGTTAATGCTTAACTAGGATTAAACAGTCCAACTCTAATGAGCTAAAAAAAGGAGACCAATCCTTTAGCATTGAAGGCCAACCCGTTTCAGCTTGTGTATGGAGAAAATTGTAACCTAAATATTTTTTTTTTATATCTTTACCACTAAAGAGCAACCTCGAAGTACATACAATTAAATATTGTTGATCATGAAGATGGCAATGATTAAGATGATAATTTATTATTGTCTTATTGATATTTATAGAAGACTTGTTTAGCTTACTTAATTTTATTTGGTTTGATTTTATAAATTTAAAAAATAATTTAATACTTTAATTAGTTAATATTTAATTATTTATAGTTTATTT